GAAATACATTACCATGAATGGTAGTTCCGAAGAAAAAGTGTGACGAAATAAACAATGAATCAAAATAAGCAACAGTAGATATTGAACAAACTGAAAAATTTGGCCCATAAAAAATATAAAAATATCTTTGCAGTAATAGGACAGAAGAAATTTAAGTTTTCTACACTCCTACGCACTATAATTACACAAAAAATAGTTTATAAATGCTAAAAAAGTGCATTTAGCATGATATGTCTCCTTTAAAAGTAGACAGAGTGTCAGCCTCACGGACAGAAACTGGAAGTTGGTTCCACAAGAGAGGAGCTTGATAACTGAAAGCTCTGCCTCCCATTCTACTTTTAGAAACTCCAGGAACMRCAAGTAAACCTGCAGTCTGACAGTGAAGTGCTCTGTTAGGAAAGGATGGAACAATAAGATGTTTAATGTATGATGGAGCTTGGTTGTTAACAGCTTATCAGAAACAGAAATAAATGTCAAATTTGATCAAAGGAAAATACTAGACTTCAGAGACTTTAAGATCCAGGGAGGGAGGTGAAGTTCAAAGTGAATCCCACAGGTGCAGTGGTATTCTTCCTTCATCATGGAGACATGCAGATCAGGGGTGTTACCAACAATCCTTAGAAGAGAACAGAGCTCAGAATTAGCAAGGTCCAGAACTAGTGGTTGAGTGAGGGCTGTAGCTCAAAACAAGAAGTATACTAAGTTCCAGCGAAGATCTTTTCCTCTCTGCAGCCYAAAAGGCCCAGGAAAAARTCAGCCCAAAGAGCTRCAGCTGCAGCCAATAGCTGCCTCAGCCAATCAAAAAGTAGGAACTGCTTTCTTACAGAGCTTTGTATGTTAGAAGTAAGATCTTAAATTCTATTTTAAATTTGACGTTTTAGAGCATTAAAATAATTATCTCTGAGATGTGTAGGTAAATTGAAATCACTTTAAGGCAATTATATTTCATACCCTTATATGTAACGAGTCCTACAGTAATCAATACAAATTAAAACAACAAAAACATTGAGTCTAATAAAAAGAATGTTTTTGATTATATCATTTAATAAATTGTGTAGTAAGTGGTACAATATAATTGTGACATAATTAATACTTCAGTAAATGTGATTAACTTTGGTAATTATAGTGGACCAAGTGTCAATCAATCACAAAACCAACTAAATCTTGACAAGGCGGGGCAAGATAGCGGAGGAGTAAGACGTGTGTCGCGTGGGCTCCCGCTCCGACTTGTTCTGTTTGTGGTTCTACACTAAATGTCCTTGCTGTTTTGAGCATTTGGTCTGGCTAGACTCGACCCCTGAGTGATTCTTGCCTGGAAGAATAGAATAATGGTGACAAACTTGAGAAAAGGCAAACATTCTAGCTCTGCGGCTGTTAGGCTCAACGTCACCTCGGAACAGGCTGCAGCTAAAGCTGGATTTTTGGCGCCTCCTTCTCCCTCCCGCGGCGAGGTGGACGCACTCTCCTTGAAGTCTGACATTCTTGCCGCTATAAAAACCGATCTCTCAGCTGTGATCAAATCCAAAAGAAAAGCGGCTTTGGCTGAAGAGTTTATTCTTATTAAAGGAGAGCTACAAGTGCTGAGAGCGGAAGTGGCTAACGGCACAATGCTACTACACGCCGACCTGGACCACCTTAAGCAGAGCGTAAAGAGGTGGAGGACGGCTTGTCAAACTGGTCCGATGAGGTTGTTGCTCTGCGCACCAATGTCTTGGAACTGAAAGAAGAAGTCGATGGGCTAAAAAAAGAAGTGTGACGATATGGAAGGGCGCATGAGAAGGTGCAATGTGMGGATTATTGGAGTTCCAGAGACGCCAGAATTTAGCTCCACTTTAGCAGTGGCTAAACTGCTAGCAAAGGTTCCACAGATGGATAAAGTGCCACTGGTKGACCGAGCMCATCGCTCTCCAGGTGGAAACAGGTCAGGCGATAAGCCGTGGGTYATTGTTGCTAAGCTGCACTATTATCAAGAATGTGTGGAAATACTGCGTCGGGCGCGGAGCCGCTGCCATCTTCGTTTTAAGGAGGCACCAATAATCATCACATCTGACTACACGGTGGCTGTGGCCAAGGCTCGRGCGGCGTTTACGGAGGTGAGGAGGCTTCTTCGTAACCGACGTGATGTTCGCTACGGCCTGCTTTTTCCTGCACGGCTCCGCATCTCTCATGGAGAGGAAAACAAGGAGTTTCTGGATGCCAAYAAAGCAATGGACTATGTTAAGAAGAGGATCATCTCAGCGACGGACAGCGAGGACCGGCGTTGACCGCAGGTCCAACTCTCATTGATCCATTATGACTGTCAGGTTGTAATGAACCTTCCAACTTTATGTCCCGCGTTATATCTTGATTTAATTTTAGACTTTATTCCGAGGGACAACATTCCTCTTTTTGTTCTGTGTACGAGAGTTTCACAGGGGGTCTGTTCAGATCTTGGTTGGTGATTTATTTATCAGTGCTGCAAGGAGCACAAACAGTAATAATACTTTAAAGTAAGGGAACCCCTTTTTTAGTTTTTTGTTATTGTTATTTAGTTGTGGCGGGAGTCCAGGCAGGGAGTTAAGTCCCCCAGTATAAGCACATATGTGTGGATTTTTTGTTTGTTGGGTTCTCCGTGTTTTTTTTAGGAGAAAGGGGTGGGACTATACCGGATCCATTTGTTTTGAGAATGTCTTTTTCATGTTATTTTTTGTGATGGTTTGTGGATATTGTACTACAGTCC